GAGAGAGAGAGAGGAAGAGAACATGGACACATGCAGCAGGGTTTACTCTGCTTTAATAGCCCTTTTGAGATGATAGTGACCGATTAAAATCTTGTATCAGCAGGTTGGGGCTAAAAGAGCAGTAATGGCTTCAGTGCAGCTCTTAATTGAATCTAGGCAGAAAAACAAGAGGAGGCAGAGGTAGATACAGTGCACCTTATCAGGCAGGCTGTTTCTTAAAGGTTGTCGTAATGTTGTTACGACCCCCCCTTATGATTTTTTCACTCGTTTTGATTACACTGCACGCACGAAAACATAAATTCACGTATTACAGATGGTGAAAAGATTCAGCCTGGCCCAGATCACATTACCGTGCAAGTTTGTGTTGTGTAGTGGCCCACAGCCCATTTTCTGACATGCAACGCAAACACCTTTTTCCCTCCAGTGTCTGATTCAGTGAAGCACTCCATCACGTGCGCTGTGTTTCAGCAGCCTCGGCCAGTGCTAAAGTATAAAGTGTATCATATATTAGATGCAAAGTCTTTAGTCAGCACTCCTGCTTGAGGAGATCCAGAGGACAAGCGTTCATTTCCTGAGTGATTCATAATGCTTAGATTGCATTACCTTGCATTTGGGGGGAGACTGAATAAAAGCCCCTTTTGTGTTCTCTTTAACTTTAATTCAGAAGTTAATTTTTAATTATAATCAAGGATTGCACTTGAATAATATATTTTTATTGACAGTTTTTCAGTCTCACTCACACATTTTCTTCATTTGTTCTTTCCTGGATATCGACTTGTATTGTCTTTATAGGTTTTCGCTGACTGTGATGGTGTTTGTGAACTATGGTGGTGGAGGCTACTGGTTCTTTCAGCACGCACCTTGGAACGGTTAAGTACATGATGCACGTGAATTTACATAAGGGAAAACTAAGTCAGTTGCTTGTACCCTACGGCCCGCACCTTACTCCCTGCACACAATGATGATGCAGCAATCGCCTGATCTTCAGCGGCGAAATCCTCCCCATAGTGTTAGCAGAGTTTTCTGACGTGTTGTCACTAATTATGATGAATGTAGTTAAGAAAAACACAGGGTGTCATTTCTCATACAAGCAAAATCAACACCATGATCCATAGATGTTTATTCTTGTTAATGATCAGGGAGGAGAGGAGGAGGAGGATTTAAATGACAGCTGGAAGAAGATGAGGGAGGAGGAAGGAATGAGTAACACTCCAGTGTTATGATAGCCAGTATTGAGGTACTCTTAAGCAAGGCATCTCTGGTTGAAGTAGGAGGAGATTTTGGTTGAAAAAGTATTTAAAACAAGAAAAAGTAAATATTCTTATACACTTTCTTTTTTTTTGTTTTTATTTCAGTTTCAATTTTTTTTCAAAAATTCCTGTAATCGTTTATGGGTGTTCACAATTTTAACTTTGTAATAGCTTTTTTTGCCACATGTACAGAGGTGCATTGATTTCAGAGCTGGATTGATTAATCTTCGCCTGGCTGCAGGACTGCTGCTGTCACAGGAGTGTAAATATTTATTAATCATGCCTTTTCAAAATGGAAAGTTAATGACAGAAGCAGCGCTTTAAGGATGGAGCATTGTTTTTAATTCATCTTGTTGTCTTTGTGTGTATAGAAGGGCAAGAACTGTAAACTCTCTGATGAGATCAAGTGTGTGTTGGTCTGTTAGTATTAATTGATTTTATGCTTCTGAAATTGTTGCAGGTCTAACTGTGGCGGATCTTGTCATGCCATGGTAGGTTTGGCACAAGGGGCCTGACCTATTTAACGTCTTTTACTACTTTTCTTGTTTGTACAGTTCATATGTGGGTTTGAATGGCATAATCCTGTTATGTCTTCCAGGTTTGTGTTTGTAATTGGGACCTCAGTGGTTTTGGCTTTCAGTTCCATGCAGAGGAGAGGAGTTAGCCGCCTGCAGCTGCTACGAAAAATCACCTGGAGAACAGTCGTCCTCTTGCTGCTCGGCTTCTGCTTTCTCAACTACTCTCCCAAAGACGGACCACGTAGGTGCACATTGTGTATTCTGATTCTCAGCAAGTTTATTAGCACACGTGGGGACAAGGATTTCTGTGCAGTAATACACCCACTCGTGCAAGCTTGAAGGCAAAGTGCATTTGCTGGTATATTAAGGTACATCAAATACTTTTGACACAGATGTCGTAACTAGATATTTCACTCGTCACTCCAACCAGTAGCTGCTGAATTCATTTTTTAGGTGAAATGATGAGTTTAGCTTTTCAAATGTGATAGCTATTTTTTTACAGTCAAGTAAATTTCTTTGTTTGTTGGTCTGCGACAGAGATGTTAAGTGGGTTGATCTCCTGATTTGAGATAAAAGCCAAACTTCATGGCTGGGTCAGGGTTAAAGGAGAGGAATAATGCTGAAAATCCCCCATCCACCTGGGATGCAAAGGGCGCCCTTCACACATTAGCTATCTGTGGTGCTAATGGACTTTCCTGGGTGGATGTCTGCTTAACTGGGTTAACAAAAATATTGTTGTTGTGTGTGCAGTCTCAAAATCCAGCACCAGGGGACGTTTAACAGAGGCAGATAGAGCAAAAACAACCGCTGTGGTAATGGACAATTACAAACAGATAGTGTTACAGCCGTCAGCTCCACGCAGCTGCTGTAGACTCTGCTGCTGGAGCTGGTCACAACAGCACACTGACTTTTACCATAAACTGCAGCTTTGCCCTCTGTCTCCAAGGACGTCCTCTGCAGCTCAGTCGCAGGGCTTGATCTAATAAGAGAATGGAGTCACATTAACTCAATATGTTAAATGCTTTTCAATGTCAGAAGAGAGAAAAGGAAGTATTAACCTTTGACATCAAATAGGAGTAATTTGAAAAACCCTACCGTGGTTAGATGTCCCAAAAAGTGGTCAAAGCAGATTCATATTAAAAACCTTGAAATGTAGTTACTTTATTCTCGAAATAAATACAAACTTACTACACAAAATATGATTTGGATGAGATGCGTGAGAGTTGATTCATTCAAACCCCTGCCACCGAGCTGCCTTAAGAGGACGTTCGAACACAAAAAGCCAGTCGTTTTGAAAAGTTCTGGCTGCCCTACGTTTTTAGTGGCTTTTTCAGTTTTGCTGACTACCAACATATTATAATATTGTCTATCTATCACTGAAAGTGCTCATAGATTGGAAGCAGACAGCTTCAGTTAAATAGTATTGAACGTCAAAAAAGGTGTCCGTTACACACAGACACAAAGAAAATGCATAAATGTGGGAGAAAAACTGTTACAGTCTGCTGCAGCTTACTTTCAAACTCTTGTGTAAATGGATTCAACTTAAAATGATAATTCTTATGAAACATGAAATTTTCCCATTTTGCTCTTTTCTGCTATTTGATTCTTAATTATTTATTCTAATACCGTGCAAAAGATTTGAACCATCCTAGATTTCTTTATATTTTCTTCCAGGGTGCCAGACTGTCATGTTAATGTTACCACTTAACATTAAAGGCTGATAGTGTATTGTCATCAATACAATTGACTGCTTTTTCACTCATTTTCAGTCTAGTCCTTGTGCCTAACCATTTCCAGGGATGCTTGTTTGTTACGCTCTTTAACACTGACCAAAGAACCGAATCTTTAATCTTTGTTACGAGCAATTTGTCACAAAAACACATAATTTCTTCCCATTTGTGTGAGGAGAGCGCTGCGACAGTGACTGTTAACATCCTTCTGTTAAACACGGTGGAGGCTCAGTCATGGTTTGGGCCTGCATTTCAGCCAGTGCTGTTGGGTATCTTCGCAAAATTGATAGCATTACGAATGCAGGAAAGTACCATCAGATTTTGATCCACAATGCAGTACCATCTGGAAAATATCTGGTTAACAACAGCTTCATTTTTTTAGCATGGAAATGATGACAAACACAACTCTGCACAGTAAAATGATACCTGGATAGAAAAACACAGTGAAACACAATTAGTCAAGGATAGGTCTCCATAGAGCCCACACCTCAACGTGACTGAAGCGATGTGGGATCATCTTGACAGAGAACAGAACAAAAGGCAGCCAACATCCAAAGAAAAGCTTTAACTGTCCTTCAAGAAACCTGGAGAACTATTCCTGAAAGCTTTCCTAAGGCAGTTCAGGCTGTGTAGAAAAAATATATTGACTTTCAATCTCGTCAAAATTGTCACATCAAACTCTATTTTTGCCTTATATGTATAGAGGAATGAACAATGGCTCAATACTTTTGCACATTCCTGTAGGACGTGATAATTTTATCAGGCGACAGACACAGTCGATTATCTCTGCAGGGGGGTGTAACATATATCTTTAACTAAAGTGTCATTAGTAAGAGCTTCCCCTTTTCCTGCGAATGAAAAGATTTCCGCCTCTTATTTGATTTGTCCGGATCAATGATTGGGATCATATTGTTTTTACGGCACTTTGCGTGGCAAAGAGGTTTTCAATTAACTAATGTGTAGATTACCATCAATCTCTCTCCAGCAGCAGCAAGTCCTATCCTTCCCAATTTGGTGAGACCAAGAGATAACTGTTGATGAATGTTTGATTAGCTACCCTCTTTCTTGACATGTTCGTATCCTGAAAGCTGATATGAGCTCTCTCCAGCCTTTATGCTGTCCATCAACTTGCTATCAGAAGTAGTTGTAGTAATAGTGGCGTCGGGATAATTGGGAAAATTCTTGATTTCTTGTGTCTGCAGAAATGACTTAATATGCGTGCTTTTTGTGAATTATAAGTTCATATGTTATTTAAATCACTGCCTGTCAGTATTAAGGTGCCACAGTGAGCGTTCATGCTGTGTGTTCTTCACTGTGCTCTAGTGTCCTGGTCCTGGCTGAGGATCCCAGGAGTGCTGCAGCGTCTGGGCTTCACCTACTTTGTTCTGTCTCTCCTGCAGACTTTCTGGGGCCAGAAAGAAATCCCACTGACTGCGGTGAGCAGTTCTGTCAAGTTCAGTTATTTCAGCCATTACACACAAGAGAAAAAATTAAAGGAGTCTAACCTGAAAAAGCACACGAATAACAAGTCCAAGAGTCGATGGACCTGTGAGTTCAGTGCAGTGGAAGTCTTTGTTGAACAGTTCAACAAGTTCCATCCATTGGTTACGTGCGGAGCTCAGATATTCGTCTGGATTAACAGACAGACATCTCTAAAGCTCCAAGAAGAGTTAAAAATGTTTAGTAATTATGAATTTGTTGTGTATTCAAGTGGACCAATCTATCCCAAAACTTAGTTTAATGCTAAAAAATACCTAAAAGCGAAGCAGTTTTGGACCTAAAAACAAAAATATGATGTGCTTTATGTATGATTCAGTATAACTGGTGGAACCCGGTCCAGGATATTCTCCTTTACTGGCCACAGTGGCTGATCATCATCCTGCTGGAGACTTTGTGGCTGTGCTTAACTTTCCTCATGCCTGTTCCCAACTGCCCCACGTAAGTCCGGACATGACTCCCTCTGTCATATAGCATTTCAGGTCAAATCTCCTCACTAATGCATCGTACACTTAGGCTAAAAGCATAAATTTCCTATGTGTCGAAGCTGAGATAATCTCCAGTTGGGCCTGTTTGTGCTGCAACAGTGTGAGTGTGCACCTTGTGTTGCAGGTGTTATGAACCGTTGTGATTTATGGGCCCGTGGTGGATGCTTCAGAGAGCCTAATTAGCCAATCTCAGTCTGTCATGTGCAATAAGAGGAGCGGAGGCAGAGGATCCATCTTCCTCGCTCTGTGTCTTCTGCTTTTTGTCTTTTGTTTTTTCCCTTCTCTGTGACCCTGCATGACATCACGTTTACAGTACTGTGGGTTCAAGCTGTAGCACTTTTTCCTCTCAGTCCTTCTGTGTCTTTTCATCTGATTGAGTTTTGGGTTTTTTCTTCCTTGAACGTGAGGCGTGAATGTGTGGTGGCTTGAGACACAACTGCTGTACAGGGTTTAAGAATATTAAAATCATCTTTGGTATTAGAACACCGAGCGTTCTCTGCTGCATCTGGGTATTGTGTTTTCATATAAACACAAAACACTTCATTAAACATTGTTTTTTGTAATAACTACAGCTACAATAATTATGTTCTTGTTTGATAACAGAGGGTATTTAGGAGCCGGTGGAATTGGCGATAACGGGCTTTACCCAAACTGCACGGGAGGTGCAGCGGGATACATCGATAGGTGGATGTTTGGTGATAACATGTACAGATACCCCACGTGCAAAGTAGGAATGTTCATCACATATTGCAATACAATCCTTCTGCTATAAACCAATGTAGGTGAAATTATAAACTGCTTGGTTTTGTTTTGCTTTTTCCAGGAAATGTATCGCACCACACAGCCCTTTGACCCAGAGGGGGTTCTGGGTACCATCAACTCCATTGTCATTGGATTTCTAGGGATGCAGGTAAGATCTAAGTTTCTCCTGTACGATGCAG